CCTGGTTAGGGGGAGGCTAAGCTGCAAATGTGTGGATCCAAGGACCTATTTATTCCTGTTTCTGAAACAGGCGGGCCCATTCAGCTGACGTACAATCTCCACCATTTACCTCCAGTCTATTTCTGTGACATATTTACGCCCACGTGTCAGGCTCCGTGAATCTACCTGTGTTTGACCGAGCCGGATAATTTACACAGGAAGCTTTTGGGAACAAACATTTGCACTTATTATATGTTGCATACCTCTTAGGAGCAACCTCAGGCATACATGTGAGCGCAGCAGAAGACAGATAAGAACATGTATGCACACAGAAGGCATTCATAGCAGGCAGTAATAACATAGTGCTGCTTTTGAGAGGCCAGCCACAGTTCTGCGGACAGAGAGGGTACATACACGAGATGTTATTGCTCTATATGTTTATAACGCTGCCATGGAAAAATAAGAGGCTCAGCCACAGGCATTTCCTCAGCTTCTCTTCCCCCGATTGCATCTCCAAGCCTGTGTGGGAAGGAGGCAGTGAGTGTTTAGATGAGGGCTGAGCACATGTCACACTTCATCATTTTTCACAAATAGGCTTCCTGATTACTCTTTCTGTATAAAATCCATCACAAACCTCTCTCACCGCTCGGCTTTTGTTTCTCCAAAACTAGCTATTTCTTATTGTCTCGCTCCATGCAGGGCTGACCTCGTGAATCGTCTTATTTACTTGATGAAGAATATTTGGCGCATTTATTGTATGCATTGTATTGTTTGACCCTTATGCTGCTCATTACTGGTTGCTTATATAGCTGGCCACCAAGGAGTTTAAGTGTATGTCACTGCTGTTGTATCTAAAATGAATATCTGATGTCTAGGCATGAATAACATTGATGTTCAGAAACAGGATTGACTCCATTGTTTGTTTGTAGTCTGCTCAATCTTTAGGTATCAGTGTGCTGCAGACAGGGTTCTTGTCATATTGTTGAATATAATCAACTTTCCAATTTCAAAATTGCATTGAGCTGTTTCGTTTTGTAAGAAGGCAGATATAAGCTACTGTTGCTCCATGAAAAAGCCTTTGCAGAACTAAAGGCCTACACCCAACACTACCCTCATCAAAGTGGCATGCCTTGGTGAGGGAGGCATCATGAACACTGTTTACACACCAAATAATAAGTGCCTACAGATTATTTCAGTCAATCTTTTTACTTTATCCTCAGGCTTTTCCCAGATAGTTTAGTCAGGTAGTTTCACATGAGAACAGCCATCTTAGTGTTTGTGCATCATCCGTATTCACATTATCAATAGCTATTTTGACTACTAAAAAATGCATTGCACTGTTTACGATAGAAAGTAAAGCAGATATCACAATACAGATCTAGAGAAAACAGACGGACGTAATTATTTCGTACCATATTCAGCTTTTATCCTTCAGTTTTGGTTGAGTCCAAATATCATCAACCAAATGTATTTCTCCAATCACATCTTTCTTCAGTATCCAGACATATCACACTTGTTGTCTAGGAGCTCTATTGGTTATTTCTGTATGCTGTTATGTTGGTGTTACAGGAAGAAGTGTATTTGCTAAGTGTTGAATCAGCTTTCACAGAACATATTTACAATTCTAGGGAAAACACTGGATGACTATTGTTCTTTTAGCTCAGCTTTCATGTCTTTTTGTATTATTTCACTATTAAACATGAGCTTCAAGGACACAGAAAGTGAAGGAAATGAAACCTATTCTAGTCTTGTACTTAGTCACCGTAAATGGTAGGGTCAGCCTATAATGTCAATGTAAATAAAAGCCGAATTCATGTCACATTTAATTATGTTCAGATATAGGCAACCTCTGCTCGTCTCTGCTCTTCTAAAACCAGCTCCCCGTTTCTGATCCAAAGGATAATTAGGCCTTGGAGCAAGACGGTGAATGTTTGTTCTCACTCCGCTCGCCTTGAAAGAGAATGCTTTTTATGGATGCTGCAGTACGACCGTATATATCCCTTGAAAAAGCAGATCTGTAGCTGCTCGTGCCTCTGATGTGCTATCCAACTTTAAAATACAGCTTTGCGAGCTCAGTCTTCTTCAAAGCTTTCTTTTTTCTCTTTTTTACTTTGGCTTTTTTTGCCCCGTACTGCCAGCGCCAACTCGGCTCTGCCTGCTGCCTTGAGTGAAGAAGTCGGGGTGAAAAGCCTGAAAGAAACTGTAGCTAATTCATAAAACAAGTGAACATCTCACAAACTAAAAAAAACGTAGTTATAGAATCATACAATATACCAAGCAGCCACCATAAAATGGGACATTGAGCCATTGATGTGTTGTGTGTGTTGATCACTGTGCTATTTAGGATTCTCTGCAAGTAATCAGTGTAGAAAAAAAACCACTCCTTTCATTCTCTTTGACTTTGAGGCCTAATGGCTTTTTTAGTAACGACTTTCTGTCTTTAACGGCACAAACATCATTAACCCAGCCCATTGTTATTCTAATCTCTCTCCGTCAGTGGCCTCGGAGGCTGAGGCGTCGTCTCGGAGAAACAGTTTCCTCATTGTGCGACGGAGGGAGGGGGATGGAGGTGGTGAGGTGGCTGCTTCAACTGCTGCCACCTGAGCGGGCATCGGCCTCCAGAGAACCTTACATTTAGGGTGGTCCAACACGACAATCTCCAAACCACGTCCTCCTGGCTCTCCTCTTTATGTGCTCCTAATTCCACCTCCCACCATCCCCCTTTCCCCAGCCCTCTCTCACAAAAAGCCTCTCACACGATGAACAAAGTTTCTCTGGTCCTCATTTGTTGACTTATCTGGCATGCTGGCAGTTTCTCCTTTAGAAAGAAAAGTCTTTAAACGGTGTTTGGAGGGCTTGTATTGCAGCAGGGAGGACTGTTGTGTTGTGTCCCTCCAGACACACAGGAAGAGTCTCTGCCATCTCCTCCACGACTTAAGCAGGTGCAAAGACAAGGCTCAATGACATCTTTGTACCAAATGGAAGAAGTTTGGGGGTTTAGCAGCTCTCCTGGCGGGGGCCTGCGCCACCTCCCCTCCTCTGTCTGCTTTTTTGGGGGACTTGAACGTGAGAATTTAGCACTGACAGGCCGCAGAGGGGGAAGCCATATATTCTGAGGTGACACAGACACCAAAGGTAGTTGTTTTAGGCTTCCACGGTTGCCTGTCATGATGCTTTTATCTCTAGTCTTTTACTGGCTGTGGTAATTCATGTTGGCCCAGTGTTGCCTCTAAGCCCGGTTTACAATAGAAACACACAATATCAAGCACTGTTTTCTTAAAATGAAAAATGTCCAGAGATCTTCATTTAAATGCATAACTTAAATCATGTATATTACTGGTAATCAGGAATGTGTCAACCCTTGAGGAAAAGCAATTATATCAAACATTTTACATACAACCTTTGTTCATAGAGAGAATACATTAGTTGCCTAACCTTCCTGTTGTCCTCGGGTCAAATTTCACAGTTTTTAAAATATTTATTATGTTATTTATATGTTATTTCATCTAATTGCTATATAACATCACTACTTTCATTACGTTATTCCTGATTAATTTAGATTTAAAGCATCTGGTCACATTATGTGCTGACAACACATGTGAAATGGTTTGAAAACAGAATCCTTACTAAACCAGTCAGATAATCGATCAGCAAAGTCATTGAAAATGTTTGCCTTTTTTAACTAAACCAAGTTTTAAGTTTGTGTAAATAAGGTCTATTGACCACAAGTTGGAAAAAGATAAAATTAAAGTGAAGTAAAACTGATTAACCATTTGTTTTTATTCAAGTTCTGGCTTTAACTTCACCCCCTATACCTAAGAATCACAGCTGCTAGTGGAACATGTGCTGCTTGGTGGTTATATTCTGGAATTGGCAAGAAAGTGATTTCCAGTGTTGGCTGGCAGCTATTTAGGACACTATCCCAGATTTATTTCCAATGCGAAGTGTTCCAAGTTTCTGTTTCCTCCTCTACCTACGTGTTGATATCAGATGTGACAGTTCTACCACCTGCTTGTCCATGATGTGATTCCTGCCCCCTTGCAATGGTGTGAGATTTCAACGCTGTCATAAAATGTGTTTCCCCAGTATACCTTACTTAAAATATGCAATAATGTCTTACTTTATCTGCTTCTAAGCTACAGAAAAAAAATTATGGTGAGTAAAAAAACCAAAGGTCTAAAAAAACGTTTTAACCTAGATTATAATTCACAAAAGCAGTCCTGGATGGGATTATGTGTTTGTGTGACATTCATCCCAAACCCACACACACACACACACACACACACACACACACACACACACACACACACACACACACACACACACACACACACACACACTCAAATCAGCTGCAAATGCACACACAAACATAAACACAACTTGTAGTACTTTTGTGGACCATCAACTTAAACACTTCTCTGATTCTAAACCCTAACATAAGTATAACTTTGATTATGAAGACTTTCCCTTTCAAGTGCCCCCACTTTCTCAAATATAGTTACTTTCCAAAAGTCCTCACTCTCAGGGTCTACGTGTCTAATTGGTCCTCACAAAGACAGAAGAACAAGAGTGTGCACACACAGTATGTAGATGGCATGGTCTTGTGTGAATCTGCTCTTCCCCACCTGCAACGGCTGTAACACACTTGTGAACAGTGGTAGATTGTGATAAAGTAAGAACAGAGGCGACGGGGGATAAATTCCCTTTTAAGCTCATAACTAGGCCGCTAAGATAACAAATACTACGTGTTCTCCTGTCTGCCTTTTCACCATCATGACCTCTCCCCTCTCTGCCCATTATTTGCACTTAGTGCCTCAATCAAAGTTCAAAGTGTATTTAACCATCATGATTGATATGATGATACAATCATTTTTGCCTGTAATGTTGGTGATTATTCTTAATCTAGAAGATTTACAACACAAATGTACACATCAAGTACAGATTTGCACACAGAACAGGACATTAAAATAAAAAAAGATCGAAAGTAAAACATATTTCTCAGTTCACTTTAATTTCCATTTATTTAAAAATAAATAAAAATAATTTATCCAAAACACAAACAAATAATAATACAGTAAATAGTTCAAGATCGAGTCTTAACATAAGATTACTTCACTTGTCACTTTTTTTATTTAATCCTAAAAAAATGAACTCATATTGCAAGTTATTCATTGTAATATACATTTCAGATATAAATAAACAACCATGACGTGAATCTATACCAACATCAATATAAAACTTAAAGTTTTAACAGCCATGGATTTACCCATTACATCTTGTCACACACTTTGACATTAGGAACTATTTATTTTGTACACGTGCAATAGTTCATTCCAGAATTTAAATAATCATTACTGCCAGGTGAATTGACTCAAACACTGGCAATATCTTTTCTTTCATCTTTCTGTCTCAGTTACGATGTCTCCTTTCTTCTTCTTCTTCTTCTTCTTGATCCTTAAACAAGGCGGAAAGCAGAATGGCCCCTGCAGCCAGAATGCCCACACCCACTACAGCTACACCTCCAATCGCAGCAGCTCTGTTAACCTGCAAAACACCAATAGGTGGTCTGAGCGTCAAAACAATATTGCTGGAAACATTTAACTATTCAATTAAAACCAGAACGTTTCTAATTTACTCATGGCTCTGTATGGTAAAAGAAGCAGAGTTTGCATGATATTTAGTACTGGAAAAAGTAGTATAAAATCTACAAAATCCTCACCTGTCTCGACTGTGAAATGCCGTATCGTAGCTCCGTGACAAAGTGCTCACAGTTGTGACTGGTGATGGAGTACGGAAGCTCCTGACCCACCATCCTACACGCCTCTCTCACAATGATGTCACGCTGCCGAGGTTCATACTTGTAATCTAGGAAGTTGTTGATTGTATAACGATGGGGGCCGACCACTTCCCAGAGCTTCTGGCACCTCACCTCGGCCTTGTTGCTGTCCAGGAGCAACATCAGGCTATTAAAAGGGTTTGAATCATCACCTGGGAGTTTAACAAAAGACACAAACAGAACTGAAGTAAGAATAAAGTGGATTAGAGAAGAAATTGAATACACACAGAGAAAAATATTGTAAGTATCAATTGTCGTTGTATTTTATAATATTATGCATGTGACGTAATTGGCTAACATTCTCTGCCATTATGGTAAGTGGCAGACAGAAGGTTTTAGATAGTGTAGTAAATGCAACACTTTACCACTTGGGGGAATCAAATGAACAACTTCATTTCCACCGATGTAGACAGCCCAGTGCTCGTATGTTCCACGGAAGATCTTGATAAGGTCCCCTGGCTTAGGACCTTGGTCAAACTAAAATGGTTAAAAAACATCCATTAAAAAAAATAACAAACTTGGCATAAAGTCCGTTTTGATCAGTTCTTAAAGCTACCCTCAGGGTTAGGGTTCATGAGCACTGAAGTAAGAACAGCAGGGAAGAAGACTGCAATCTAGTTAACATAGTGAAAAACAATGGTTTTAAACTGCAGAGCTTCTTAAATTATGACCTTCTTGCGTGAAATGAGTCTTTCCTTTGTTCTCGTCTGACATTATACTAAATCAACAAATGTATCAGGGCATGAATCATTAAACAAACAGGACAAAGTAACACCCAGATAGGCAAATGTTTGGAAAGAGGGTATGTGCACAGTCAACAGTGGTGGATACTTTCAGTAAGTTGGAAAAGGTGTGCTATTTATTATTTGGTTTATTTTTAAGAATCGCGTGTCAAAAAACATTAATCTCCAAAAGAAAAGATAGGAGTTAGTTATTTGGTTGTTCTTATCTGTAGTCCCTGGAGAAACACATAACAGTGAACAAACACTAATTATATGCACATCTTATGCATTATGCACATTTGTTCTAGTTTTCTATGTTAGATATTCTTCATTTCTTTTTTTAATGTTACCTGAATGTTGCCATATATTTTCACTTTCACTTACACTTACATGGTAACAGATTGCTTTACAGAAAGACATTTCAAATAAACTAATAATGCGTTGTTATTGAGGAGTACTAAACACATCAAATATATACACCTTAAGTATTTAAATCTGTTGCCAGTGTAAAAAGTCAACAATGTAAAGCAGCATTAAATCTATCTGAGTCATAAGTGACAGCAGGGCTCAGCAGCAGGAGACTCACCAGTGTTGGAGCCATGTCTTCACTTGTTCTTCTCCTTCTTTAACTGAACAGAGGCGACGTGCAGCCAATTTATCCCAGCTGGAGATTGAAACCTAAGTGTGCTTACGTCCCAGAAGCGAAAGTGTTCAGCAAGCTGATATGGAAACAGAAACAGACGATTAGATAAGCATATTGGTGCACACACTGTATGACTTGGCAGCTTGGCCTGCATTTGCAAATCATTCATAGGTCGAGCCTGATAATGTTACACTGAAGAACTGCAGGTGGGGCGAGTGAGTGCAGTAAGCTGCAAAGGCTAACTTTCATTTCTAGGGAACTGGTCAGGCCCTCATGTTACTGCAAGTCATGGTTTAAAGTTTCAGATGCAGAGTTTTTGCAATGACCTCCTCCTTATGCTAGAGAAAAGAAAATGAGTAATGCATTGTTATATATAAACATATTATGTATTTTTTTATATATTTTTTTATATTTACAATATTTCAATGTTTTATGAAAACCAGCCTACTCAACAGTTCGACAACACACTTAACAGAAAAATAATAATCTTATTCATTGATTATGAATTCATTAAAAAGTGTCCTTAAATTATTATTAAAACATGTCATGTGGATCCAAAAAAGCTGAATCATTAAAATGTTCCTATTAAATAAAAGGTTGAATAAAATCCTATAAAAATAGGTGTGTCTTATTTGTCCAGTAATAAGTAATAACTGTATGGTATCGTGTGTGAACTTAGACTTATTTTACTTAAAATAATGATAAAAAATAGAAGATAGATTTATATCCTATACAAAGAGGCGTGTCCTACTTGCCCTGGTTAGTATAAAACTATGCATTGAATGACATGACATGGAAGCCATTGAAAACAAATAAGACTTTTTACTATATAAAACTGCTGAATTCTCCTAAACATGTTTGCTGTTTGCTAGAAGTATATTAAAAAAGTGATGTTTTCACTAGCTAACGTGATCTAGACAGACGGTGTCTCGTCGTGTCCATAGGCAGGAAACCTCTTACTGACGGACAGAGATCTTCTCAGGACTCTCCCCAGGATTTAAGGTGTTGCCTGACTCACTAGCACTGCTGTGCTTAGTAGCAAATGACCAACTAACGTTAATTCAATCAGGAGAGACGTGATGTATGAAATACATGTTTATTATCGGGTCACATTATATAAATGAAACATAATGATGACAGTTTATAACAAGTGAATGAAATGGTGTTTGGCGATTAGGCCCAGGTTTGGTAGGATGTCATTCGGGAAGGGAAGAACCGTTTCCGATGAACCCCCCTGGTTCTAGACACTGGTGGTGGTGATAAGTGGTTAGGTCCGGTTGGAAGGGAGAAGGTTGAGCTTGGCCCTGACTTGGAAGCAGGAGGCGAAGGGGTGGAGGAGGGTTGCGCGTTGACACCTGGAAGACAGCTGATGGAAAAGGGGAGAGCATATATAGAGGGATTAACAGGTGCGATAATTAGGCTTGTGAATGGAGGGAAGTGATAGGTTAGCTTGACGAGTGGCGCTCCCTATCATTTAGTGAAGGGAGCGAGTATTGCCATGACGTGCAATACGAAGTGATAGGTCTTCCTGCCTGAACTTGCGCTGAGCTTCATTACAGAGAGCCTTATCTCATACTGCTGATATAAGGAATAAGGTAAGGATAAGGAAAGCTGTACGCTGGAGCTGTATTGCTCCTCACTTGGGTTAAAAATAATGCTTGCTAACAATGCAAGCAGATTAATAATACTAATCATATCAATAATAATGCATACAAATGATAATTATTGCAGATTATAGATTATAAATAAATCATTTAGGGACAAGGGGGTGAGATTAAATAAATTATACTTCTTCTCACTCCTTTTCGAACACTATGTGGCACTGTTTATGTTGCTAATGCTCTTGTTGTTGTTGTAAATGTCATTTTTTGTTTTGATTTCTCTTACATGACTATGCACTGCAACATTTGTTTTGTTTTGTAATTATTTATTTTACTTGTTCGAAATAAATG